CGAATCCTTATTTGTGTTCAATCTTTGCACATGCAGCTCTTCCAATGTGGTGACGTGAGAAAATTTTGAACAACTGACAGCAAAGCATTACCATAGCAACACCCCCTGTGTGAAACACCAGCATAACAAAGCTCCTGTAAGCTTTTAGAGCCACTGCCCCATCTGATGGCTTTCAACAAGCATTGCAGTGGTTAATAAAGAGAGGCTTCACATCACAAAAGTGGAAGCTATCATATAATTTAGCAGAAAAGGATAAAATGTCAAACCAGAAAGGCAAAGTAAACCTTCTGCATGGTCGAAGTATTCACTAATATGTGATGGCAATTAATCTCCAGAGCATAAACCTAAGACTGTTTTTGCTAAATTAATTAATCATTTAGATTGTGTGCGTCTACTAAATCATAACAAGCATTTTACTTTAACCGGGCTGTCCCGATCCAATATCAGAAAATCGGTCCGATAGTGATCAAAAACTGAATATCTGAAGAGATCGACCAGCCTCTAAAATCCCTGATATCAGAAAGCTTATAGCAAAACCGCCCTTATATTTAAAATGAACGTAACTCTTTGGTAAGTAAGTAATGGGTCAGTTGTTCTCATACCTGATGTTAGGTATGGTTCTCTGAAAGAAATACCACTTGCTAAAGCCTTTATTTGAATCATTCCACATTATAAAATAAGTACTAAAAGCATGTATGATTTATGTTGATATCGTATTAGGTCACTATCGGTATAATCTTAATACTCAAAGCTGCAAAATCTGTACCATTTCATAAACGAAAAAAAATTGTATTGGGACACCCCTAAATTTAACTAGTTAAATTCATTTTCATGAGAATTCAGAATATATGTCCAAGTAACCCTGCTGCTGCACACTGAGAGCCAGCAGAGAGAGAGATCTTACTTTTTCCATATGTTTTAAATACAGACAATGGTGGCTGTTTCATGAATCTGTAATTTATTTTTCTTTATTTTGAACTGAAATTACATTCAATGAAGAGCATCGCAAGCAGCAGTGTGGAAATTAAAGGAAAGCCACCCGCCACTCTCAAAAAGCAAAAGATAACAGTCCGAGTCATAATAGCAATATTTTGATTTTGTTAACATCAATTAGACTGGTTTGCCAGGATTAGATGGCTTATTTGTATCAGAGCAACAATAAGCCATGATAATACACCTACTGGCTACCTGGGAAGAATGTCTGACTGTTAGAACAGCCAAAATTAGCTTGTTAGACTTATCACTCTAGAAAGAAGCAGAATTCTTCCAAATTTGGAAGGTTTTTGTCTGGGTGATCAGCCAAGTCTCTGGGAAACCACTAAAATTATGCACCAGCAACAATTTAAAAAATAAAGCTACCGGTAGTTTGAACGGCAATCAATTTGGGAGTAGTGGTCAAGCAAATATGCATATTTTGCATGGGGTTCTTTATAGATGTATATGTGCAGCAGACTACCTACCCCCCCTCATTTTGGGTAAAAATGAATAAATAATGAACAATAATATTACACTTCAATTTTGCAAAATTATCTGAAACCATAGCTTTCCCCCCTCAAAATCATAATGAACTTCCCAACAGGATTAGAGTGTCAGGCCACCACCCAAGAAAAATAATAACCAGAAATCCATGGAATCATGTAATCAGAGTCAGCACAAAGAAAACAGCCTCAGCTAGTCCCCACTCTCAGTACTTACCGGCTGGCTTCGAGGCATGTCGGGTAAGGTCTGTTATAAGAAATCAATAATATATCAACGAGTTATTTAAGTTTTTTGGAAAGATTGCACCTGATATAAATGTTATTCTGCATTTTAAGCTAATCATTTGCATTGTTGGCAACATTTCCCAAATGTTGCAAAGAGAATATTATATCAATAAGCTGGCCCGAGAAAAAGAATCTGCTCAAAATGATTTTTTGACAATATAGTTATTTTTCATAGAGGAACAGACTATTCATTATTAAAAAGAAGAGTAACGCTGTTGTGGCATAATAGCATCAAATAATATACTAACCAATGTCTAACATATCAAATAAACATTTTAAAAATGATCTCCCTATGCATGGGAATTTGTACAATTTAAAGAAAAGAACCAAAGGGATAAAAAACATAAAACCACACCCATTTCCCCAAGCAAGGTTTGGAGGCAATATTTGCTTCAAACTTTGGTTGCATGGACTTTCACTGTCTTTTTAAGCTCAAACAGGACATAGATGTGGGGAAGAGTGGTGAGAACATTGCAATGACTGAAGGGAAGGGGCAGAGCAAAGCAAATAATGAACAAGCCATAGCCCTAAACAAAAATTTATTGGTCTGTCAAATGTCAATATAACACCATCAACACCTCTGACCTTTAGTGTTTACACTCATCTTAAACACCTCTGCAGTTAAACACATCCTGTTGATGGTGGTAGTTAAAAGTCAGACTGTTTGTGTTCAGATGATTAAGCTGACCAGGCTTTAACACATTGAATCCAGTTGACAACTCTTGAGATTTCTCTGATGGAGACGCTGAGATTAATCAAGAGTCTGTTTGAATAGTTCACTGCTAGACCATGGGCATGCATTGCAAAGATATCACATAGTAACTAATACTGAACCTTCAAACTGATTTTCAAGGTGAACAAAAGATTGGCCTCAGCACCACTAGTTAATAAAACACTGGTAACCTTAAACAATAGAAACACATTTTAAGACTTCTTGATCAACCAAATAAACAGAGAATAGCAGAACAACAGAAGCTTGAAAGGTACTTTCAAGTTATTACCTTAAATTTCTTGTCCTTAATTGCAAAACAAAAACATTTAGTCGGCCAAGAAGCTCAATTAAAAAGAGTTTTATGTAAAATATCATCTATTTGAAAATAAACTTAATCTTAAGTCTTTTTAAAGTTAAAGGCAGAAAAGCAGGTTTATATCGGATCAATATTATCAGTCATAACAAGTATTAACTTATAAATAACGTTAAATGTCCATGCAAATTACTGATGAACTTTAAGCTATGAATTATTAACTTAATTAGACCAATCGAAAAAAAGATATCCGTTTGTTTTCAGAGGAGTATGATAGCAGATTCTACTTAATAGCCGTTAGCTAACTAATTATTTGTTTGTTAACTTATATGTATAAAAAACACCTGCATCTATACGGCTTGTATTTACCAATGAGGGGATATAAAATACGATTAAAGTTAAATAATTCAGAGGTGGGTGTAGTAAGCTGTGAACAGACGCAAGGTTATGACAAAAGAGTTGGCTAACTGCTAGCATCACACGTTAGCAACAAACCTTGGCTCTCCCAGCTTCTAACTTCTTTTGCCGTTCAGCTTCATCCATAGCTTGTTAATAAGGTCAGTGCCAGTCTAGGCATCCGTCCTAGCACCGGAGGGTAAAGGCACTGCACTTTAAATGGATACGTAGTAAGTTTTCATAAAAATGTTTGAGACTAACTAACTGTCAACAGACAACATTCAGTATGGCCGCCAAGTGGGTTAGACTCCGCCCTTAACCAGTTTTCTTCAACGTACGGGCCAATCCGACTGTAACATTTTTCAGAGCCCTGCCTATCTCAAACGTCATTGAAAAACTAACCTGTATTCGACCAATCAAATTCAATTGACGGGTCCTGTACTATTCAAACTAGGCTCATTGAAATGTAGTTTTTATTAAGAATTGGAATATATTTTAATTGAAATTATTATTTTATCTAACCTTAAAGGCTAAAGGCTTAAACATATTTTCAAGCAAGTGGTTTAATGTATCTAAAAAAATTCTTATCATGGTTTAACAATGATCCATCTAAAACTGGTAGAAGTCGGTGTACTAAAGGAGTACTTGTTTTCTTTTTTTACCTGTTGCTTGTGCAAATTAAAACAACTTTTCTAAAAGGTAACACTATTCTGTAGTTTAAGTGTGGGAGACATACATTTTCCTCGGATGTTATCAGTTCACCTTAAAACTTTCCATGGCCGGTTAGCTCAGTTGGTTAGAGCGTGGTGCTAATAACGCCAAGGTCGCGGGTTCGATCCCCGTACGGGCCAAGACATTTTGTGTGCAGTGCTTTCTAATGCTTAGAACACAAAGCTTGAAACAATCAGATTAAGGTTTACTTATTTCCTTATACAGGATTGCAGTTTGCCTACATCTAATTAACGAAATACTAAAGGTTGAGCTTTTATTGCATTTATCCCCGTGCAGTCATCAAAATATGAAAATCTCCATATAGTATGTTATGACTTTGTCTTAGCTCAGGTAAACACGCTAGAAAAAACCTCTTCCCCACCAGCCACCACTGCCTCAAGACTTGCAGCCAAACCTACTTAGCCTATGTGTTGAATTACCGCTGAAATGGAAAGGCCAAGCTCATCAAAAACCGTTTTTTTTTTTTTTTTGTTTTTTTTTTATCTTGTCCAGTTTCAACTTTATAATCTCTAAAACAATGTAAACCACGTAACCAGTGGTTGATGGAAAAGTTTTGGAAAATATTAATAGTGAATGGTTGTAAAATTAAGTTAGTGACGCGGAGATTTTTTCGAAATACACTTTCTTGATTGGCTATGAGGATACGTGGCAAAAATGGAAATTCTGGAACGTGATTGGCTCTAAGGAGAAAGATGGAAATACTGGAACATGATTGGCTCTTCAACAATGACGATCTATGGGATTAGGCTTTGATTGGCTGTGATCCAAAATGGAAAGATGGAAATGGTGTAATGTAAGCTGTAAACGTAATTAGATGGTAATAGACAGTGTCACATTTAATGCAGAAAACCCAAAAAATGACACATATAATAATGTAGAGGAAAATAAATTTCGCCCGAACAGGGACTTGAACCCTGGACCCTCAGATTAAAAGTCTGATGCTCTACCGACTGAGCTATCCGGGCTCTGAACGCCAAAAAACACGTGAACGATTTTACAGCTAGCTTACCGCGATCACACCACTGCTTTGTGCAGTTGTAGTTAACCGTGGATAAACACTAGGAACGGCACGCAGATTGAGTGATTCATGTGTCTTTAATAGTTTAATTTACAACTGTACAAAGTGGTACTATACAGCATCTATAAAACAGAATACATCTGTTAGGACTTCAGTTTACCCGCACGTCTGCATCTTCCTTATACTTACAGTGTTCTTTATCAAATGTGAGTGCACATTATTAGGCACATATTTTAAAGTCATCCCTCATCATGGCACATCCATTTAATACAGAAAATAACTTAAGAACTTACAAAAAAGCATATAAAACAATGCAAAACAAACATCTGATGCATTGAAACTAACTATTAAAGTGCAATTCATCATTTAAAACATTTACAAAAGAAAATCAGAAAGAACTGTCATGCTGTGATCAGCAAAGATTATATATAAGGGGTAAGCTGGTTCTAAAAATGATCATGCATTTGTGTTTAGGGCCTCCTTAAGCATCAGATCAAGGCCTTAACACACATCAACATCCATCCCAAAATGCTGGTTTAAGTATGATGTGAATTCAATTAATTTGATAGACCATCTTCCTAATTCCCTTCAATATGCTTATGTTCATGCAGGCAACTTGCTCTGCATAAATTAGCTCTAATTGAACCATATTTAGGGCAAAGTTTGAAACCAATTTAGAAAGCCAAATCTGGAACATACATGTGAAGAGAAATCAAAGTATAATTAAAAGTAAAGTAATTTTACATAAGATTTCTTGCAAAAATGTCAGATGTAAGATTAACTCATACCAGAACACAGAAAAATTATTGTGTAATCAGTAGAACTCTGAACACTGGTTTAATTATTAGTACTGATTAAATAAGTCAATTATCTTTTTTAGATTTCGAAAAGAGCAATTAATTAAGAAACCATGACTGGATTACAGAGAGAAAGAGTCCTGAGTCTTTACATCTTTTTTCTGCTAAGTTGCAATAGGACATTGACTTTTATGTTGTAATTACACGACATCATAAACAAGTTTAGTGTGTAATGTTATGCAATATAACTTGATCTTGGATGTCCTCGATGAGAAGAGACGTTTCATGCCATCTGCCTATTTAAACATAAAGGTCAGTACTGGTTGTATTTTCCACACAACAATAGTTTAAAGGGGTGGAGATAAACCCTGCTGTTCATCTGTATTTTCAAGAGAAAAAGATCAATCCAAAGTACAGGTATGGAGAAAAAGGAGGATGCAAATCATCATCTATGACGATAATTCTTCCTATGGCTTATGTAACCTAGAAAAAAAAGACAAAGGAACAAACATCAAAAAAATGCAGCAAACATGAGAAAAACCTAACATCTACTACAATTAAATATTTACCTTGTGTATGTGAGGAGGAAGCTCATCCTCTGAGGTTTCCTCTTGAAGAGGCTCATGGTGTCTAGATGATGCTTTACCATCCTCTGCCCATCCACCCATTGGCAAACGCGCCGTCCTCACACTCTTTCCACCGCTACCAAAATGGTCTTCAAAAAGAGAAGAGAAGTCAGTTGAGATGAAACGCTCCATCTGAACTACCCTAATAGCGCCTATGATGTTGCGGGTGAAACTGCTCGTCCAAATACTTTCAAAACTTCATCACCTTACGGAAGTAACGCCTCTACTTATTGAGATTTCTATCGTTCTCAGCCCATAACCACAAAGACTTAGTTTTGAAATGTTTTTGTTTTTTAGTTTTGACTTCTGAATTTGTTCTATTTTAGTTTTCATTTGTTTTTAGTATTTGTTACAGAGTTTAATTTAGTGTCTATCTTTTGAAAATGCTTAGTTTTAGTTAAGTTTTTTTTAAATCAGTTTCAGTTATAGTTTAATCTTTTATGTAATACCACTTACTGGGACAAAAAGAAAAACAAAAAAGAAGAAAAGAAACAAATAACCTGACTGCCTTACCTGCCATCTGCAGGCGTAAGATGGTACACCGAAAAAAACAAAAAGCAACCTGAAACTAGACCTCTTATTAATGCATTATGATAAAGACACAAAGAGAGACTAAGCACAATGACTTTAATGAAAGAAAATACAGGTGCTCATTCATAGAGCACCATTCTCTCTTAAAATGCACTTTGTCTTAATTTGTTTTGTAAACTCTTATTACAGTTTTAGTTAGTTTTCCTGTTTTTAGGCTCTAGTTTGTATTTCAGGTAACAGGAATGTTCTTTTTATTCTAGTTTTCTTAATTTCGTTAGTTTTATTTAACAATAATTACCTTGATAAATGCACTTGGCCACAAAGATAAGCATGCACATTGGAAAACTGAATTTGCATCCTAGAGCTTAACTGATGGGAACCCCTGAATAGGAAAACGCTGCTTAATAAGGTCACGTTGATCCGTACCATCATATTGTACTGTAAATATCTTCCAAGAGACAAGAACAACTTTATCTGTCGAAACATGCAACAGGTATTTGGAGGTGGGGTGGTAGGACATTTAACAAAGAGTAGCTATTCTGGTTGAATGATAAGAGAACCAAGAAGAATCATGGAAAATTACACCTCTCTCCTTGGGGTTCACTTTCTAATCATGTTCATTCAGTTTATTTTTAAAACTGGTAAACCTAAGAAACTTCAAGGTGAAAATACTATAAACTATACTTTATTTCAGAAACACAGGGAATCTAGAATAAATACAATTTGTTTAAAATCTGATTTTAATGCAAAAAATCTGATCTGGTTACTCTAATGTTCACTGAAAACCAATGTTCTTATTTTGTTTTGTTGTTTCATTCAATAATATTTGTATCCAAATCTTACAAGTATAATCACATATTTGATTTTAAGTTAAAACATGTTAAATCATTTTATTTTACTCAAAAAAGGAAGTGACGTACTTTATTTTATGGTGCTTTCTGTAATAATCTATTTTCTGTCTTCCACCCCAATTACGTTTGTTTTGCATGTTTTATGTTCCTCCATGTAACGTAGATGATTAAACAAAAGGAAAAATAATTAGAACCATGGTCATTTGCATTTCAGCTGCACTTTTTTTCCTGTGATGATGTCCTCCCCATATGAAGACATAAAAAGCTTTGAGACTCTCAGTGAAAATCCAGATTGGTTAAATCAACACATCGTGAATAACTACTTAGTCTACAGATTGAAAAGCTTTGCAAACAAGAATATGATGCAGGGTATTCTGTGATACAGACTTGCTGTCAACTGTAAATAGAAAAAAAATCCACATAAGGCTTCAACAATGGAGAAAGAAGTGTGGATAATAACAAACACCTTCAGCGGGTCCACTGTGGCGCCTCTGACTGCTGCTCTGTGCCTTTGCCTCCTCCTGGCTCATTGCGGTGCCGGCTGAGCCTGAGCCGATGACGGGATTGGTAAGCGTGGTTGGGAAAGTGTGCGAACGCGGGAAATTTCTGGAGTGAGCGTTGGGCTCGCTCCTTACTTCATCCGGGATGCTGTCGCTGCTTTCGTCGCTCTCCTGCCTGTGCCAGGTGTGACGGGACAGATCACCACGGGACTGCTGTTTATGGAGCTTAACAGAAAGAAAAAAGTTTAAATATGTAATAACAATTAACCTGGTTTGTAAAAGTGTGTACGGATTTACCTCATGCATGTAAAGTGCATGAATGCTCATTTCGGTGGACGCATACTCAGACAGGACCAAACTAGTCAGCTGACCCTCCCACGCGCTGCTGCCTGAGCTCACGGTTCTGGCATCAGTTCTTAAAGGGAGAAAGGGGATGAAATGATAAATAACTGAGGTAATTTGATGATTGAAACAACAGGAAGGAGCATAATTCAGTGTAAGATGCTACAGGTTAGCCACAGGAGATAAGTTAATCTGAATAGGAGTTTATCCTCATTGCTTGTCTTTCTAACCCCTTAGTTGTCTTACTTGTTGTTACACTGCTGTTTATGGTTTTAATATACTTTGGGGGAATTTTATGTGAGTCTAGTGCATAGCTGTGAATTGGTGTAAACGTGTCTTCAAGGGTTTGTGTCCACCAGGAGAGGAGACACTGAAATATTTTCCCATTCTTCCTTAAAAATTAAATCTTTGCTCTAAAGTAGACCTGAGTGAACATTAGGGGTCAATGTTCACTCAATGCTGGAAGGTGAACCTCCACCCAGCCTCAAGTCTTTCGCAACCTCCAACAGATTTACTGTCAGGGTTGCCCAACAGCGTTGATCATTTTCCATACAGCACAGTTCTGGTACCATCATGCTTCACCATGAAACTGGGTTGTGAACCATAGATCACTCTTGTACATAGGCGAACTTAAATTGTGGTGTTATTTCTCTAGAGACGCTTGATGTACAGTTTAGTGTTGGGGAATAAAACCTAACAGCATTCTCTCTCTAAGGAATCTTAAAGAATGTGTTTCCTCACCCAGACCCTGCCATTGTTCTGCCAGTAAAACCACTTGCTCTATGAGCAGCACTCAAACTGCCTCTCAGGTGAAGACTGCTGCTGATTGGCGAGAGGGAGCGCAAGGCTGTCGCCCCGCTGCTTATTCCAGAAGCTGCATTGTTAGTTAAAGAGCTGTCGCAGGCGAAATGAACAGAAGCCAGAGTTGAAGGATCTGCCATTATATTTGCAACAAGACTTCTTGGCTGTGAGGAGCAGAAAAGGCAAAGGGGTAAATAAATAATCCACTGTGAAAAGATCAAACACAAACACAGAGATAAGATTTTGTTTATGACCCTACTTCAGACTCTGACAAGGAGAGTGGATGCGTGTCAGGGGCCGAGCCTGCAGCCTCCCTCTGGACTCTTTCTTTGAGCTGACTGATGAAGTGTGTGGTCTCTCGAGGAGGCTGCCAATGTGGGTTGGTGATGGCGAAGTGCATCAGTGATAATTCTGTTTTCCCATCCTCTGCCTGCTGGTAGATAGAAGCCTCAGTCTTCCCCTCCGACATCCACTGCAGAGCGGACGATCGAAAACACCAATCAATTTACTGTTCGTCACACGTAAGCACTTCTGACATCTGTTAGACTGAGCCTCACCGCAGGATGTCCGTGCTGTCTGATGTCCATCTGGGCAAAAGAGCAGGTGTCTCCGACCCCAACCACCTCCACCGTGAAATTCCTGAAGAAATCAATAATCTCCAGAGACTTCCTCCTCAAACAGAAGATGAGAATGATGGGAGTCACCACTGGACTTAGTAGTTCCTCAAGAATAAACACCTGGAAGGGAAATAATAGGAGGTACCTGAAGAACTCTGGAAATAATGTGTATTCATTTAAACTAAAATCACAAAAAATAAAATATGGAGCAGAATATATCCTGGAGCCAGTGCAGCTTACTACATACTTGGATCAGTAAGTTCTGACCCTTGAGATCTAATCCTCCGTATTATTTTGCACTTACAGCTTTGTACTGAAAGAGCTGGGAGAACTGGTCTCGGGTCTCGTATCGGTGTGCATTGCCCTGCCAGTGGTCTGGCATGTAGTGGATGTGAGCCAGGATGACCCGCAGCAGCTGTTCGGGGCAGAACACCATGTGTTTATCAGGGATAAATGACCTGAAGAGAGACAGAAAAAGGAAGAAAAAAAATAAACGTGATTGTTTGTGCCATCCTTGGCTAAACCTTATCAGACCCTTTGAATGAGAGTGTAGTGGATTTAGATCACATCACTAGACTCCTATTTAGTAAATATCAGACAGGGGAGAATTCAGTCCAGACATCTCCTTGGCCCTTCTCACACCTCATCCAAAAAGTAAGGTTTCTCCCATTCTGCATTTTTGCCTGATATTCTGGACCCTGCCTCTGTGATTTTGCAGCCCAGGCTTTTCACTGTTTCGTTCACCACCTCTACTCCTCTTTTTACACTGGAGAGTTCGACAGCTGGGGTCTCGAGGATAGTCTTGATACCCTGCAATTGAGTCACCATGTTTGTGACATCTTAGTTGGGTCCGAAATATGTATTTGGGTTTTTATTTCGCATCGGTATACATACGCTTGTAAATGGTATTTACGTATGAATAAATTAGGAAAATAGCCAAGTCTTCTTCTAAGCAGCCATCTTGGGCATGTCACCACCGGAAGTCTACCATTCTTTATTCTTAATTCCATCGCAGGTGAGTGTTACATCTGTAAAGTTTCTGTAAAATGCATTGATCATGTAGGGCAAAGAGTCTTTATGAGACTGAAACAAAAATACTACGAAGTTTCATTCAAGTAGAAAAGCAACTTTGTACCTTTTGACCCACTGAGTTCTGCCACAGCCCAACAATAAGGATGATTTCACTCAGACTGATGACTTCTTGTATTAATATGAAGCAATCTTGGCATCAGCTTCCAGCTTTAAACATTCCAGCCCAAACATTATCGAATTAAAAAGTCAGACTAACCAAATTAACTTATGTTTGTGTTTTATTGTTATCTATTCTCCCCCGGTGGGCACGCCATTAATATTTAGTACAGTTATCTGGGATGCAGGCTGTGTTAAATGACACTGATATATAAGCTGCACATACGCAGTCAGCAATCATTTGTCGTCTATTTCATGCTGCAACCGTGTTGGATTTCATTGACATTTTTTTTTTATCTTCATATTTCTTTAAGATGTGATTGGTCTGCTACATGGAACCTGCCCCTTTATATATGCGCATTCACATATTCATGATCAGTCAAAGCTGGATTGAGTTAGCGGGTTGAAAACCACCTAAGTGGTACTGCTGAACCTGATTACAATTGTAGTTGATTGGTTAAATTGGATAGATTGGAAGTAATCCCGCTAGGTTGAGCTTGCTTCGTGGTACAGGCTTCGGAATATTCCAAACACTTCAGCAACAGTGCTCACCTACAAACTGTGATGCAGACCCCAAGCAGCGTGATGGATGAGAGGACATGCTCCACTGCAAGAACGTCCTCATCGTAGATGGTCAGAGCGATGAGGACGGCCAGGAGGGAGCCGGCGAAAAACGCCACATTCTTTGCGACCACTGTCAGCAGTGGAGAAAGGAAGCAGTTCATGTACTTGGATGCAGCCTGGATACGGAGATAACAAAAAAGGGAAAGAAAGGATCATCATTGAATTCACTCCACGCCTTTTATTCTTTGTAATAATTAGCAATTTGAGTCAGGTGTGCTTAAGGAGGGAAACATCTAAAACATGAAGGAGAGAGGGCCCAAAGCGTTTGAGGGACGAGGAGGTGTACCAACCTTGTAGCCTTTACTGAGGCGGGACATGAGCTCATGGTCCAGCTCATTGAAATGACGCAGGTAACATCGACCATACAGGGACCAGCATCTTGCTCCCAGAGATCCAGGCTCTCGCTTGATTACCTTCATACCCAAATATACATTATTGCAAAATAGCTCCAAGTACAAAAGGTTTTAGAGTTTGTCCAAGTGGGCTTTTTTTTCTATTTTACCTCAGTGTAACTAAAGAAGGCATACAGAATCTGCCACACCAGGATGACTGGACACAGCAGCAGGTTTGCAACGCCGATCCACAGGATACGAGACGCCAGCCTATCTGCAAGCTCCAGCCTGTTACCTCCTCTCTTATACTCTGGCTTTAGACTCCACTCATTCTCAAAGAGAGAGCCTGCACAGAGAAATGAAAGCAACAAAATAAAACCTTCAGTTGAACTCAAAACCACCAACATATGCTTTTAAATCCACTTGCTTGTTAGCAAAATCTGAAACAAACTCTTTGTTTACCTGGTCCCCAGAAAAAGATGAGCTCAAAGTTATATTTGAGACCCCGGGTGTAAAACACACAGTCCCCAAGAACTGGAAGCCGAAATCTCACAGGAAGGAGAGATTTGTTCACCATTGCAACCTAAGACAAGCATGTTTAGGATGAGGTCAAAGGATTGAGCTACATTTTTACATGATTAATGTACATACCATGTAGTTTTTAAAGCGCAGGATGCGGTGGTAAATGTCGAGCTCTGTCAGTTCCTTCTTATGAATGCAGATCTGGTGCTCCTTCTGGATCTCAATGATCCTGGCCTGAACTTCCTGCCACGTTGCATAGGGAAGCTCCGACTGAAACACACAAAAAAAAGGAACAATAAAGGTCACAGGTCGGGGTTTGATGTATGCAGCAGCCATAAACATTGATGTGTGTATTTGATGTCAACACTTTGAATGTTTGCGTAACTAAAAGGCACGACAAACTGTAGTAGCAAAATGTCTGCCTCACCATGGTCATCTTGAGTGCGTTGATGTAGAAAGACCTGATCTCCCAGTAACAGCAAACGTTATAGAGGAATTTGACCAAGCGATGCAGCCAAAACACTCCAGAGATGATCAGAACAAATATCACAAAGGCATTGTCTTGGATACTGAGAAAGAAAAAAGGTCCAGTTTTATCGTTAGGAGACGAAACTTATCCACATATTTACATAAGCACTTTTCCTTTTGTTAGATTTTTTTTTTTGTAAAGAATGTAATCAATAAAATATTGTCTGCAATATGCAAAGATGTCCATGTGTTTTGAAGTTTCCCAAAATTTGGAAAGCAGGGTATCATCCTGGGAGTATGCAATAGAACAATACAGATTAGTACATTCTTGTGAAATGGAGGAAGAACAACATTTTTCTTTTGTAATAAAGATTTAATATGCAGTGACTGCTAGTTTTACTTATTCCTCAGAGCCAGTAGTTTGTTAAACCCTCCTCAGATGCAATTACAGCAGCATTGTTAGCACTTAATGCCAGTCTTGCTCTCATTTCGGACTCAGTGTTGTCTTTTTGACATTAAGGAATTGGAAATTAATTTCAAGGCCAGCCATAATATCAATAAATCTATTTATTAATAACCGGGAGTATTTTTTGGTTATGTTATAATGATTTAAATCCAAGCAACAACTTAAAACAACACAAACATAAGAAAGCATACAGTGATGTGAAAATTTTGCAGGTCTTTGCTTTGAGAGATGGTGGGACTTCAAACTTATATTGTCATTTAGTAAGGCAGCATAAAGTATGTAAAGTCAGCGAGCTGTAGTTACACAGAGATCGAGTTCACCATAGCTGCACAAATAAAGCTATCAGCCTGGGTACAGAACATACAGTATTGTTTAGGGCACTAGTTTCTGGTCCTACTGTTTGTTGTCTAGCTCGGTGCACAAACCAACGTTGAATAATGTTGAAAAGACATGGAACAGAGTGATTAAATACAGAGTTCATTTTTTTTCCTGGAAAATAACATTAGTCCTTAAAATACGCAGCTGTTCTGCAGAAATAAATGTTGAATGCTTTTGCATTTTCTTTTTATATTTTACACATTTATCTATATGGTTGTCAAATTACATACATTTTTTTCTATACAAGAATTGTTGTCGGTTTAGCAATTACGAGGTTTTAGTTGTGAGTATTAAATAAAGAAAGGAACATTTTATTTCAGTTCTGAGTGTCTTGTCTTTGGGTTTTTTTAAGAGAAAGTTGATTGTTCAGATTCACTTGAGAAGGACGCTTTGACCATGTGTCTGATCTGAAATAAAGGTTCTTGACTAGAAATCTATATTAGAGCTAAACGTTCTTTGAGGTATACCTCTACCATCTTTGAACGTCGAAGGTCAACACCATTCGCCCATTTCTCTTTGAAGATAAGCTCACGCTCAGTCAGATTAATGGGGCTTTTAGACTGTATCTGGGCCATGCTAACATATATGCCATAAACCCTCTTACTGTAACTCTGGTTTTAAGTCTAGATTCATCTTTTTGAAAGAGAAAGTTTGCCTTAGTCTATTTAGAAACACCTACAAAAAGAGGCAAAAATTAGGAAAATTAGAAAATAGAAAAAAGGTATTTTCTCTAAAACAAATAATCTATTTTGTTGGTAATATTTATAAAATCAAGAAAATATTGTTGATCAAAGATTTCACTCTGAAATAATCTTTAATAGTTTCCCTTATTAACCAGCAATGTTGGAAGGCTATTTGTTACATTCTGTAAAATGTGAACACAGAAAATCCTTCTAAGGGCCACAAATGGCCCCTGATCAAGATTTAGGACACCTTTGCATTAATAGATCTTCTTCCATTATCAGCAAATGTTTAGCTCAACCCAACTTCATCAGCTCTGTAAATCTCCCTGCCGAGGAAAGCCTTTTGAAAGGAATCCCATTGACAATGGATTTTATTTGACACATCACAGTAATTGAGGCTAAATATTAAGCAATGAACCCTTTTTTTTTAATGTTTTTATTTGTAGATATTTGGAAAACCATCCCTCATTTTTCTTTCATCTCACAATTATGCTCAATTCTCTAAAGGCCGGCCACAAGTGGTCGCTGAAGTTTTTGGTTATAATGTGAAAAAATACAATGTTCCCAGACATGTTTAGACATGAAACTCACTGAGCACTGCAGACATCCATTGGGAGGATTGCATCTGGTAAGGTGACTTTAGATGAATCTGTGTGATTTACAAACTTATTGGCAAAGAGGACGTCATAATCCACACAGTTGGCCAGAAAAACGGTGAAACCAACAACAAATAGCAGCTGTCTGCAGGGAGAGAGAGGGAAGAAAGCAGCAGAATCAGAGTAAACACCAGCAATTTACCTAGCATATAAAGGTATAACAGACTGGATACATACACCAGCTCAAAAATCTCTCCCAGCAGCATGCAGGTGAACCCATTCTTCTGATGCAGATTATAGACGTAATGAATATTAAGGAGAAACTTCAAAGCATCAGAGGATATCATGTGTGCATTAGACATTTGTATTTTGAGCACAGTAGACATGTTTCTTAAAGCAGAAAAAAGGATATTCTTTGAAAAAACAAGTCCAGGTTTTCTATGTGGTGCCACTGGGCTGGAAAAGAGGAATTTTAAACAGTTAAAGATTCAGGGTAAACTCCTTTTTTTGTATCCATTATATCAATCCTCTGTTTGGGATAGTGTCATACATTTGCTTCCCTCAGGCACGTGCATCATTAGGTTCTCCTCGCCAGGAGGAGAGTCGCTGTAGGACGCCTCCAGGCGCTGGTACTCTGTCTCAAAGTGTGCCATGGTGATAGAGCTGGTCCCGTCTCACAAAGCAGCCTGTGCTACAGCCTGCAAGAAATGTTGGGAAGGCAACATTGGAAGAACATAAGAAGATAATAAAGGTTTACATCTCAATTAAAATGAAGCAGGAGATGCCAACATGGCATCTAAAGAAAGTGGTAGAGTAAGTTTTTCTGTTTTTATGCAGCACTCCTCTCTTGCTGCACACTATTGGTCAGCTGGCTGAACAAAAGGCAAGCTATTGGCTTCAAGACAACTAAAGTTGCTTGTTGGAAACATTTCTGGTCATGATATAATACAAACAACATCAAAGAGTGAAACATCAACCACCTTATTTGTCAACTTTATGAAAAATAAAAGACATTTCTTTTTATAAAACAAAGACTATTAGATCAAATCATAATTTCTCTTATAAAATCTCTGTCAATCTTTTGATAGCTTAAACGTCTCGCTCAAACTTATCATTTCAAGCATTGTATTCTGGCTAGTTTCCTTAAAAATATTCACTTTAACAATTGAGACATTGGGTGTTTGCATACATTGTTGAAAATATAAAAAAACAAGTAATGAACTGGAACAAAAAACAGAAATATAAATAAAATGCCCCCCCCTAGAAATTAACAATGACAGTGAAATGATCCCCCACACATAATTTGTTATCTGTTTGTTCTCTTTTAAGGGAAGTTTGTTATGCAGAATGACGTCCTGTTATAGGAAATGGTAAGAGAACAAAGGGGGTAAACAGGGCAGACCTCAGGTAAGAAAACATGATCACATGAAGGGGCAGAGACTTACAGCCAGTGAAGCCAACTGTGGTCCATCCTGCTCTGGAAGCTAGTCAACATTCCGAGCTGCAGAGAAAACAAGAGTCGCTTAAATTAGATACGAAATGAATGTAAAAGAAGAAGACTGTTTACATCAAAATCCTGCTTCTTGGTGGATATAACAACAAAATAACTGAAATAAATATTTACATCTAACACTAGACAAATCAGCACCCAGCTACACGTACATAAAATATCCCAAATAACAGTTTTTTAACATTAGTTTGGAAATGCTAGGTATATATGACGAACAGAAACAGTCGAAGCAGCATTTGCATTGAGTGTTGACGTGCTTTAACAGCAAAGGCCTGCCTCCCTCACCAATAATAAATGCCCTCTCGGCTCCCGCAGCATGAAATCCGAACGCTTTCCGTTCCGTCTGAATCGGCCTAAATGTCAAAATCTGTCAGATTTTACGATGACTCCTTATAATTTTCGTTTTCCCTCTACTCCCTCTTAAAGTCAGGCACAGAACAGTTTCATTTTCGAAACACCTAGCGTTGTGACGTTCGTCACAGCTAACAGGCAGCAGCACCATCCAATCAGAGAACGGTATCTCTGACTTAAAATAAACCAGCAGCCAATTGTATTCGTAGAAAGGCGGGCTCTGTGCAAACCATTGCCTTGCACTATTTTGGGGTTTTAAAAATGGCTATTTAGCACCACCTACTGATTATTTAGCAGCAACACAAACCTTTTATTTATATATGATTTATTTATTTTTCAAGGCTGCACTAATTTTTTTGTTGTTTTCCCATGTAGGCACCCAATTCTGCTAATAACTTCTCAGATGTTAATGTAGGATACACAGTTTCCCTCTTTACCCATAAAGTGTGGTTCCACCTCTTACATTTGAATGTAATTATATATTTTTTAAAATATTGCTTTATTACATAGCTTTTTTTCCCCTTTAATTAAATTTCTTATGACAACATAAATTCCCCTGAAACTACATGGTATTGAAGTTGAGAAAGCAAATTTATCTAACATAACATGTTTGCTAATATATACAATATATATAAAAAGACTATATCAATTATTCAAATGTATGCTTATGAATTTGTTGCTAAAATGGCTATGAAGTGGCACCTGTAACTTTTTGGTTCTTCAATCAACAATAAACTTTTTTACTGATGTTTTTTGGAGGTTAAAGCAAATAAGTGACAAAAGAAAGCCAAAGCAACAGACCATGATATGTCACGAAATTCATGTGATGCTGATGCAAAGGAATAGTTTGAACCATGATAAAAAAAAAAAATAAATAATGAATTTGATGTTATCAATCCGAGCACCAGTTGAGCTAAAGGTCAAGCCGTTGTAATTCACCATATGTCATATGACTTTCTCCAAAAGAAATAAAATATGTTTTATCTAATGAGATAAATATGTGCCTTGCAAAGAATATTTACTTCAGTTCAATTTGTTCATATTCAAAATTGTGCATAATTGTGAAGAGAATTTTTTTTTTCATACATGCTTTATATATCTTTTTATATGAATATTTATCCAAATCTCAAGTACTTTAAAGCCTTTAAGCGTTTACTTCCAGAACCGTTCTTCTTTCAACCTTTCCATCTACTCTGATCAGCTTCCTGAAAAGAATCCTCTCCAGATGATGTTACCAGCTCCATGTTTAAGAGCGGTGATAGTGAGGTCAGGGCGATTTAAGGTTTTATTCCTAATAGATTTCTATTGATCTGACCAGGATACCATTTTCTGTTTTTTTTTATATATATATATATATTTACACAGAATCTGCTTTGAAACATCATCATGTATGTTATGATGCTCACCCATAAATGCCAGATTAGTGAAGCTATTAGTTAATGGCTATTCTCTAACCAGATTATCCTGAACTGTGGAGTTCTGCAACTCCTCCAGAATCATTGGTCTCTTGGCTGTTTTTCCTGTGGATGCTCTCCTTTACTTAGCCTGTCAGTTTTGGGTTGGGTTTATTGCTCTGGATTTCATTTAGGGGTAACAGACCAACTAAGGTCAAATGCAACAAATACTGGACCATTTAATGCGTAAAGCGTTTATAGTGTTTCTTACTCTTCTTTTCTGGTGTAAATAATTCACTGTAAATGTGCTAAATCTGTTTTTTAATTTTTAAGTTAATTTTATTTTATTAAATTAAACATAAAAAGATATGGCCCCTGGAATTACAACAATTTAAACCAACAAAAATTAAATTTGCCTGTCATATTTGCTTCACAATCATGCCTTGGCAGCAGGGATGTTGTCCAAATAAATATTGGGTCATATGTTTAAATAATTGTAGAGTTAATTAGAGCTGAGGAGCTGAGTCCAAGCCAAAAAAAAGGTCTTTTACAAAGCCAGACTCATCCTTTTGTCGCTCTCAGCCTTGATAAATATTAATATCTGAGTGTTAAGTCTCAGTAGTGACAGCTGGGCTTCATTCACACTACCAGTGCCACGCTATTAGCACTTCTGACTGAAACTGTTTGCACTTTTGAGGATTTTATTGATCAGGTTTTCCTTCACAAACCTTGATAACATGTGTTGATCTTTATAATCCAGCGTTTCTCTCACACACACAATGTCACATTTTCAGAAAAAGTGCTGAGGTGTCTTGAGTCGGGGGTAGTCTATGTAATCCAGTTAAACACTGATTTAAGCAATTTAATCCATTCTGATGAGGATTAGGCTTTAATAAAGTAAATCCATTTTTTTCTTGTCATAACAGACAATAGAAACTAAAAGGTAACATGCAGAATAATACATCTTGTAATGCCTAAGGATTTCTCTGCCTCTTTCTTTTATTTGTTCACTATAGATGAGTTATTCTGATCTCATGGTTCTGGATGTGTGTGTGCATGTATAACTGTGCGCTCCTGTAGACTATAGCTGTCTTATTAAATTACTCTGTTGCCTGCTGGGAATTATGGGGGTCACTCTGCGAGGCGATTTGGTTCAATGACTGTCGTGCTGCTGTAAAAGCCGGGGGATGGGGGCTACAGAAGGGTGAGGGTAGGGTGTGGCATGTTGGGGGGTTCTCACTGGATTAGATAATAAGGATGAGATCATGTTTCCAAAGCAATTAAATTAGATTAGGTCCTTCCCAGCATAGAAAAAAACAGGTATGAAATCTCCATGCAGGTATGCAACCCTGTTTTACAGAAGAAAATATTTTAATTATTGTTCATTTTCATTTGAATGCTGTTGATTATTGTTAGGCAGCCCTTAGTGTTATAGATTCAAGTAATTCTATTCCAACAATTCCGAATTTGGAATTAAGGAACTTCCATACATATAGATTTGTTTGTATAATATGTATTTTTAAACTAAAAACTATTATTTAAACTAAATAAAATATCCCTTTTAAAATATTTCTTTAGGATCTTGCTTCGTCATATACAAAAGAATAATAATATTTCAACACATTTAGTAACACATAGACCTTCAGTTAAATATTTCTTTTCTTTTTTTTTTCTTGTATTAATCAAAACCTCTCTTTCAAATGAGCTTTTGGATACCTCTTCCATTAAAAAAAGATCTAAGGGTCGATTACCTTTTAAAGCCTAAACCATTAAAATAATTGTCAGATGAACTTATTTTTAGCTAGAATTGTCACTGAACATACTGAGAGATGAACACAAAAATCATACATTTTGAATCAGTGGGCAAAAATTGCCAGGATGTCAATGTTTTTTCTTGGAGGCAAAAAACCAAAGAATAACACAACAGTTTATTAAGTGAGCCACAAACCTGTACTTTCTAAATAACTATTTAAGTAGATTATAAAGAATAAATATCAAATTGGTCATAAGGACAAATAAGTTATGGTTTCTTTTGACATTGCACATTATCATGAGAAACCAATTTTATATTACACCTGAAAAACTAATCTCGAAAATGTAAAGTTTCATAAAATTAGTGTGTTTGTCCTTAATTTGAACAGGTAAATAAGATCTACCAAAGGAAGGAGGGTTTTAGTCCTTAAAAGATCATTAGATAAAACAGAAATCATCTTATTCCTTCTGCAAATTGTCTTACCTGCCTACTTAAATCAAGGTAAAACTAGATAAGTAAGTATCTTATATCATTTGCAATAGGTCAGACTTTTCTGTGGAATTTACAATAAATTTTCTGCTCAATACGTGTCTACTAGTTATAAGCATTTTTCCAGCTTTATATGGCACAATAAAAGACCCAGAGTATAATACTCAACCCTTCAGCTGCCAATGGAGCAGGGGGGTATGGCTCTACCTTAGTGGACTATTACATGTTGGCCCAGATTAGACCCTTAGCGTGCTGGTGTAATCCAAACTACAAGTCTAAATGGAAGAACCTAGAGNCACTGACAATGTAGAGGTCTCAAAAACACATGTATCCTGTAGTCCTGAGGTTTATAGGGTTAAATAGACCTAGATCTAGGCAACTGGGAACATCCCCATATTTGTGTTTGTCTCACCCTTTCAGGCATCCCACGCTGATTTTTTTTTCTTATTTCTTACTTAACAGTTTCCCCCTTCAGAGCCATTAATTGATATCTCTGAAAGAGGTTTCACAGAGGGCCAAACTCTTGAAGAGAAAGAGGAGGGTGTTAATAAATAAAGAGAGATTTATGGAAGCTACGGTCGTAAAACTAATTGCCTGCGGCGTCGTGAGTCATGCCTTTTAGCACATGCAACATATGTCTACTCAGTCAGACCTCAATGAGACGTATGTGCTAAAAGCTCAGAGTTAACGTTAGCCACATTTGATTTGATAAATGCATGTATGGAATTGAAATTCATGATAATGAACTTGAGAGCTTATGTCTGACTTATTTACAAGTCGGCCGAAGGTAATGACTGCTTCCCCAGTCAGTCTATGCAACTAGAGAAGACATAATAGAAGATCTCTGCTGAGCTTTGCTCACTTCACTCTCCTGAGTGTGAGAAAAAACCCCAAACAAAAAAAAAAAAAAAAACACCAGACGTTCTCATGTCTGTTCATTTCAACCCATGTCTCCTGCATGCATTTAGCTTATTGGAGGAGGTGAATTGGTGACGTTCTGATATCTAATCATGCCCAGCTGTGTTGTGAATCATTATTACTGCCTTTTCTGACATAAGCAGTTCCCTACCAAAGCCCCTAATGAAACGCAGATAAGAAAATATTATTATATATCCTTATCTTTGTTTTATTTATAATGTTGGAATCTAATGAAACAATTACATTCTAAACTACAGCAGCATAATAAGTTTAAAATTCTGTTTTGAGCAAAATCCTTTTTTACCCCCAGACAATTTAAATTTATTTAAACATTTCCAGACTGCTGTGGGGTTCATACATTTAATCTCTGACTTAGAGCCAATTTCCATCTTCCTCTCTGAAAGTGCATTGCACCAGCTGGTATTCATAAATGTCCTGGGAATTGTGTATAGTCCAGGTTTCCACGGAGGATCGGCTCCCATTTAAAGATGCAAACATGTAGATGACTTAGTAACCTCTGCACAGAGAAAAATACTGAAACCATATTAAATCAAACCTTAAATCGGACTTAGCTCACACTTAGGGTTACCCTGTTTTTTTTCTATTTGCTGAATACCACAATGAACCAGCTGAAGAATTCACAGATGATTTGTTTTTTCTTACATTCATTAATATCACAATGCCTTAAAATTATAAAATGTTCAGTTTTCAGACATAAGTCATCAGAAACAAAAACCTTCAGTCTAGCAAGGTTTTAAATGTTTGTGTATAACAATGGGTCTGCAACCTGCTGCTCTGGAACCACGTGTGTCTCCTTGGAGCCTCTACAATGGCTAAAAATTATTTAAAGAAAAAACCACGGTTCTTTAATAAAACACACCAGTCTGAAAGGCTTTAGTGGTTTTTATAAACTATATTTGAATTGACTTTTTCCCAAAAGAATGAAATTTAAAGAACCAGAAATATGTTTTTAGAACTATCTTTCTTTAACAGTGTGTAAATTGTGTTTTTTTGTTATGATCACTTTTTACATGAAATAATATCCTGCAGAAGAAAACCCATGCTTTATGTTGAATAATTTTTCGAATGTTTTTTTCTCATTTTAAAAGCTAAAAATACAAATAAACTGTTGGTTGTTTAGGATGGCAACATATTTCCTAAGGCAAATTTCAATCTGAAAAACTCACACAAAGAGAAAAGACAATTAGGAGAAATGTATTGATATAATTACATTGTCTTTGGCACTCAGACCTGGGCAGGAAACATAGCACATAGCAAAGAATAGGGCTGTTTCCCCACAGGTCTGGAACTGGTTGTGGAGTGGAGATAGATGAACTCGGTCAGTCTATAGACTGCTGGTTAGCGAGACGGTATGCTGAGCTTTATGGGGAGATCCAGTGGACTGCGTGAGTTGATACTAGAGCTTCACTCAGGGACCTGGAAGATGGAAGTCCAGTTGGATAACACAGGTTGAGAGAACCTGTCCATGATGAGCAAGCATGAAGCGACAGTGGAGAGGAAAAACTCGCCGTTGGAAAGAAACCTCGGGCAGAACCAGGCTCAACATGGCGGTCTTCTGCCGGACCGGTTGAGATGAGGGAACACAGTAGAGTCCAGGAGGAATGACACTCTAATGAAGCTTTAGATACGATGGTGGAGGAGGGGCTGGAGGTGGGTTGAAATGGTGTTATCTGAATGAAGTCACACAGCGCATACTCTGCCTGCGCACAGGAGCAGACAGGTGCGGATCGGAGGCCTTTTAAGATGAATTTAGGATGCCGATTGGCTTTCGTGGAGGTGTGGTTCAAAGCTGTTTGGCTGTGTCGCAGGTGGACGTATGAAAAGCAATGAGTTTTTTCAGTTAAACTTCCGCCTAGGCTCATATTTAATAAAAAAAAAGGTTGTGTTTCATGTAATATTTTAGGGCTAACTCAGACTCAGGAAAAATGGCTGTTTGGATATGAAAGGTTGCAGTGCTAAAAAAACTTTGTTACATTTAATTAAAATTAAACACCTATATACCAGACTGTAAAGTATAAAGGAGGTGGGGCTATGTTGTCGAAGTAACTGGTGGCTTAAACTTCATTAAAGAGGTGACATCTTCTGGAGAGGATAGCATGTGGAAACACTGAACCAACATTGTAATATATTGTCTTAAAGGTGGCTGATGATGCTTAGCATTCAATCAGATCATTTGCAAACTGGCTTACAGACATCGGTTAGAGTGCCTATCATAGCTCCTGGTCCCACTCTACTGGATGATGTACATCAGTTCTGTCATGATTAACAAAAAAACATTTGACCCGAAGAAATAGAGTTTAAATACAAGTTTAGGATATTTGGGTAAACTATAAAAAATCTGAACACACTTAAAGATTTAAAATTGGTCTCTCATTGCTTTTAAATTTAGCAAATATGAATACTTTTCTTAATTCTCACAGACATAAATCTGGTGAGGGTTTAGATTGATTTAGCTTTTGTTTTGTGTGTCTGAGAAGGCGTGTGTGTGTACTTGCACCCTGAGGGGGGTTGGGTATAGTTGCACATGCTTTTCATATTTAACTTGTTTTTGGTCCTCAATTTATTTTCGATAGGGTAGGGATTAGATTCAGGATTAATTTGTAAATTGGTAACAGGTTAGGTTTAGGCATGTACCAATAATGTTTAGATTGAGGGGTAGGCTACAGAAACGGTTGAAAATGAATATAAGAGTTAATGCATCTTTTAAATTGCATATCCTCAGGCAGCAGCGGAAGACCTTCCAGCATTAAAAAAACACATTTAAAGATAAATGATGGGATCAAACCAGTTCTTCTGGTGACACACTTTTTGTTATTCATTGTACTTATTATACTGATGATGGCTTAAAGGTTAGGCCTTCCCTGCACCTTTATACCTTTATTAACTATAACCTTCCTTTATTAAAAAAAACAACATCAGAACTTTGTAACAACTAATTGGTAATCTTTAAAATCTTTTAAGCAATTGCTCTTTAACTTTCCCCCTATAAATAAAGCAGCTGTTGCACCTTTTAATTTAGTTCTCTCACAAACCCAGCCTCTTAGATACACTTTTTGTTGTCTTAATTTTCTTGTTATCTTAGATAAAATTGATCTCCTAGATTATCAACAGAAAAGTCATTTTAGTATGCCAGCATCTTTCTGTTGTTGCTGTGTGAATGGAGGTTGGGTCTGCACCGCCCCACCGGTGTGTGCGGTTCGCAGTTTGAAGCTCATCCCCCGGATTGGTCCTCTCTCCTCTCTCTCACATCCACACAGGCATCCCTACACATGTCTGCACACACAAACACGCACAAACACACACATCTAAAAGAGGCAGACCTGCAAAACGACGTTCGTCTCAATTAGAGATCATCAGAGGGCTTTTTTGTCTTTATTTTCATCACAGCCTCCTTGGATTTCTCTCATGTGTCCGTGATTGCGCACAGCGCCCCGACAGTGGATATCTACGTCAGATCGAGACATATTTTGGCAGCAATAAGATACCGGTGAATGGGAAACAGAGTCACGGAACCTTCTCCACCTTCCCCCCATCTTGACACACACGTGCGCCTTCCCATTGGTGAGGTTTGCGCTCCTGAGAGCGGAGCCGGTGCGCGCGCTCAGCCGGGCCGGGCGCGCCTCGTCTGGGAGGAGTAGAAGGGATGGAGTCGTTTTTCACAGAGGTGAGCCGTTCAGGATCGGTGTCAATGCATGAGGGATAAACATGAATGCTTACATCTGTGTGCATCAATGCATTTGCATGGAGGTTGTTTTTTTTTTAGGCTGCTGCGAGATGCGTTACGCGTTTTTTTTTTTTTGTTGTTGTTTCCTTTTTTCCATTTTGATTCACGTCCTCTACGTTGGAGGTGTTGGGTCGGTCCTGCTCCTCTAATTTTCTCATGCCAAAACAAAAAAGGTTTTATTTTAGATCTGCACATGTACTGTTAATAAAAAGGGCCTCATTCATTTTATTATCACTGCAGAGAATCAGGGCCTGGCTGAAGGCTTGTTGGAGTCAGAGCAATTGAACCGCAACAAAATTGGCCAAAGGAGGTTGGCTCTGGTTTTTGGGTCCATAAGGCTTTAGGATTAAATCCAATCTGTGATGGAAGAGCAGACAGCAATGCTGTTTATCAACAGTCATCCTATGATGCACTGTACAGCACAATATGGAGAGAAGAGTGGGTGAATGAGATGGTAGAGGCGTTCATGGGTGGGTATGGGGGAACAGAGAGGAGGGGGTTGCTTCTTACTAATATGGCAACTGGTATCAGAGGCTGAACAATTGGCCAATTTTCTAAAAATAATTGTGAAGAGTTGCTATGTAAAGCTTTCAGGCATTAAACTGAAAAACACAGGCGTAGCCAGAACATTTTTAGAAGGGTGGCCAGGCAATAACCAATGTACACTGAGGGGTGCCCAAAAGTAGATAGGCACCAAAGCCTCAGGGTCAATCTACAATGTTCCAACAGGAAAATTAACGAGCAAAACATCCATATTTTATAAATAAAGACAAAATATACTTTCCCACATCCTTAGCTAAAACAAATAGGCGAATATATCAAACATCGGTGCTTTCTAGATAAAAGGTATAGTGGATACAATTCTTTCATGTTTGAGTTTTGGGCAAACATCTTTTCCATCATCATTACTTACCTACTTTTATCAGTAATCATTTTGCATAAAATTGATATTTACAAGTGCAAATATATACATAAAGTGATCATTTAATAAGTTTATATTAAAATGGTTATTTATCTACGATTTCACTGAAGACTCCTAAATGATTTTTCTCTTTACCCCATAAAACACAAAATTTATTTCTTTATCATCGGGGTGTGGCAGACTAGTGGTTAGGGCATAGGGCTTTGAATCCTGAGGTTGTGAGTCCGATCCCCCACTTCCACAGACTGGCTCCCTGCGCAAGACCCTTAACCCCACACTGCTGCCCGGGCGCCGCACAATGGCAGCCCGCTGCTCCCCAAGGGGATGGGTTAAATGCAGAGAATTAATTTCGTTGCTCTGTAATTGTGACAGTGGAATGACAATACAGTTGAATTCTAATCTTAGTATATTGATGTGCTATGAAAAAATTTTAATGTTTTGAATATTCCATTTGAGATTGCTGCTGCCACCATCTGTATTAGAGGGTTATAAATGGTAGGGGTGGCCAATGATTGGCTAAGGGTGGCCATGGCCACCCCTGGCCCCCCATCTAGCTCCGCCCCCGCTGAAAAAAATCTGGCCTCAGTTGAATTACAATTCTAGGTGAAACATGCCCTACTATATACCTTATATCTTTATTTCTTGCACCATATTTTGTAGCAGCAATTAAAAAGTTTTATTTATTGTCAGGATCCATCCTCTCCAATCCAGTTACCCCCTCCCTTTTAGTTAATCTGATATGGGTTTAAATGCTTGTCACTTTGGCAGTGATTTCATGCAATCTCTAAGTGTCCGGCGCTGAATTAAATGTTTTTCCACGCTGCTATCAAAAACTCCCGCTTGCCTAAGACTAGGATTTCTTTTGACAAACCAAAACAAATAAGAGCTAAGGTATTAGATCGAATGAAAAAAAAGTGAAGCATAATGGGTAAACTTGTATTCTCTCGCTTTTACCCCTTGGTTGAAATCTAGAGCAACCGATGTCAACAATTTATTACACAGTCCACATTTGTGTAACCAAATGTCAGTATAAATCCAGCTGTTATGTACAGTCCTAAGAGTTTTGTTAGACAAAATTAGAGAATAACAGGGTCATCACCAAGAGGCACGGCAGACAGCTCTAAATGTTATCAATTTGTGGTGAAATTTGAATAGAACTGAGTTAAACTTATTAAGCTCTGAATACGTCTCCAAGAACCGTTCAAGCAGTTATCTAAAGCTGGAAACAGAGGTGCAGAACAGCAAACCAAAATATGGTTACCAAAGTCATCCACTGGTCTGCAACATGCACCTCCAGAGCCACTACTGGCTCTAAGTTTATGTAAACATTATGTAGATTGAGGCAATTTTAATTAACCTAAAATTTGCTTTATGAAGCATGTTTTTTTTTTTTATGTTGTTCCCATGCAATATTTGCACATCATTGCTGCAGCGGGATTAAGAAATATGGATTATTGTTATCAAGCTGCAAGTTAGTTTGATGCTGTTTTTCCTTCAAAAAGATATTTGAGATATTTATGAAAAAAAAATATCAAATGTGCATTACGCTTGTGTAGCTATTATTGTGTAGTATTTAGCTCTAGGAGCTACACAGACCTTTGCCTCAAGTAGGATCATTTCTTGTAAAGGTAATTATGAGTCAATCTGGCTCTTAAGACAGCTAGAAGAAAGCCAATGTTAAAAGAGAGCGAAAGAAATTCGAAAGTTGAATTAAATGTGCTCTAGTTAGAGGAGATAAAATCCAGATCTGTTAGCCAACATGCTGTGGGGACATGAGGGTGGCAGCATAATGTTCTGGGGATTCATTCCTGCATCTTTAAGTTGCTGGGAAGATGGATATGATTGAATAGAAGGCTGGAGACTAGGTTGGAGCTTCACCTTCTAGCAGCAAGATAAAAATGCAACTCAAGTTAAAATCTGGTTGTTTTGAATAAAGTGTATTCATCTCCCTCTTTTCTAGATTTTGCACTACTGTTCATTGTCATCACGATTTTTTTGTCCCATTATTTTAATTTGCAAAATATTTTGTTGTTAATGCTTTTGATTTAGCTAACTGTAGGAATCAGAGCCATCAGTGCTCTCCATGCAGGCACATTCTGTAATAAGCCTCACTATAGAATATGACTGACCATGACAGGCCTTTGAGTCAGCGTACAACCACAGCAACAACCATCTACACTGCTTCATTTCCCAACAGTCTGTCTGTAAAATATTGATCCCAGCATTGATTAGCAGACCACCATATAACCAGCTCTACAGCCCCAACAGCACACGCTGAAAGCTTCTATGAGATGTGAAAATGGAGAGATTTATTGAGTTATATATTTGATACCCACAAGCCTTATTTCATAAAGCAGGACTGAGCACTGAGTTGTCTGTTCATTCAGATGTGTCTATCCATTCTCCACTTATATTTCTTTCCTTTACTCCATCATCTTGTTGCATGGCGCCATTAATAATCATTCCCCCAAAACCAGAGAGAGGGAAACGATGAACCTTACCCCTAGTTGGTCTCTCAACCCAGGCAGAAAATGTGATGGCTGTCCCACCATTCAAGCATGAAATGTCAGGTGGCATTAAACTACTGTATAATCAACATATCTTTAGACTGGTTTGGGAGCTTCTAGTTTTGACACATTTAGAAATATGATTTGCACTTTATACTGGGTTCAGAAAGAAATTTTAAATTATTAATGCAGATTTTAAAGTCTTTCCTCAATGTTTTGGCACAGTTAGGTTAATCGACATCTCTTATATGGAAAATGTGACACTCATCAAGCCTCTTCATCAAGCCCTTTTTAACTTACCAACATATGTTGGTAAGTTAGAATGTTCTTGGTAAAAAAGAGGGGAAAAGGACACAAAGACCTGATCTGGTAAGAATCTTCGGAAGCCATCTAAGATTCTGTGGCAAGATAAAATGCTCTGTAGTTCCACACAAACCCTATAACCTTGTGTCTTTACTTTTAGTGGGGTTGCATATGTGGCACACTGGGATATTAACTATTGCCTATTGTCTGCACATAAAAACAATAGAAAACTGGATTAGAAGACAAGATAAAGCTAAAACTTTAATAAAAAGGCAAAAAATTCTGTATGAGTTGTACAGATATATATAAAAGGTCTAAAAGATCTATTCACACAGATAAAAGGGGGGGCATAATTTATATAATCTATGTAAATATTAATATTACATTTTTAGGGTGTTTTTTTTGAGAAAGACTACTTGCAGAAGCTGAGTATCAGAATGGGGAAGGAAGGGGATTGAAATAACTTTTAGCCAGCTTGTTGCTACCAGACTAGCTGGTCTAAGCATTGGAGAAAACTGCTGATCTACTGGGATTGCTCACACACTATCACCTCTCAGGTGTACTGATAATAGTCAGAAAAAGAGTAATGTATCCAAATGAAAAGCCAGAGGTCAGGTAAGAAAGGACAGATTGGTTGGAGACTACAAAAAGGTAACAGTAGCTGATTTTTACAATCAATGTGTACAGAAAACCATCTCTGAACGGACACTGTCAAAATTTGGCTGCAGGAGATGTGTCCCTCCTGTCAGCGAACAGGAAGCTGAGGTTGAAGAGCATTGGAAAATAACAAATTAGAAAAAATGTTCTCTGTCTGATAAGTCTCATTTTATCTTATGTGTTCAGACAATAGGGTCAGAACTTCTTAGTTCTTAGCACATTTTAGGTCTCTTAAAACCAATCAAGCTTTGTTTAAATTAGCCTGTGACGACCCTGTCAGATGACCGACTGAGCTGCTGCAGAGGTGGCTCTATCATTTGGAGTGCATTGGTCACCAATTGGGAACACCTAGGCTGTGTCCGAATCTCCACCCTAATCACTATATAGGGCAATATATAGTGGTTACGCCATTTTAGATGAGAGTCTGAACGTCTATTGGATGAAAAAGTAGTGGACTTGAAATTTTCCACAATGCACTTTGAAAAAGTCCATCCGTGTCATCCATGATCACTAGACGAGCAGATAAATCCCAGAATGCTTTGCAAGGAGAG